TTTATAAAGTAAATTTCTAACAAACTAACTACATTAGAAACTAGAGAAGGTTCTAGAATAAACTTCTAATAACATATAGGAGAATGATCTAGAAGAAAGTTCTAATATTGGAATATTCCAACACTCCCCCCTCGAGATGGAACATCTTGAATTGTAGAGAGAAGAACAGAGATGCAAGAGAAGCCGTTGTCGACAATAACGTCCAGTGGAGAAGCAATCCTGAGAAAAATAGCAACATAATTCAACTGGAATAAGTGAGCATCCATGGCTCTAAAATTGGGCATTTGCTAAAGACATACTTCATCAACATTGATGAGTAAAAGGAAAATTGGAAATCCTAAACAAACTCCAGCAAGGACAATTCCAGCCAGCAAAAATACAGCCATAGGGATGTGCATCTCTTGGCTAATTCCAAAATTGACAAGAATAGAGTTGAAAAACTCTAAAAATTGATTTACTAGAAAAGATCCTGCAACAAGCACTGAACCATATATCATGAGGTAAAAAGCGTTTTTCCTGCCAGTTGGCAACAATTTCATCCCCTGGAAAAGAGAGATTATGATGACAAGGCAAACTCCAATAGCCATTGAATTGCTGTAATAAAAAGGAACCCAGCTACTAACAATTGGCGCAAGTAGCAATAGTACAATACCGAAAGCAAGACAAAACAGACGCCGCCTCTGAAACACTTCTGCAATTTTGTCAAAATTTTCACCCTTTACAGAACATGGCTCCAGAAAAGTAATATTACTGACCCGTAAATTATGATGGCAAGCATCTGCAAATTCTGAAATCAAAGAGCTTTCCATTGCCACTTTCTTCTCTGTTGGAGATACATAGGGGAAGGCCACAGAGAAGCTGGCGTTTGAAAAATAAGTCTTGAGCAGGTCCACTAGTGTTGGGTCTGAATTTTTGGATCCAAATATATCCAGAGACTGCAACTGTTTTCCTACAAAAATAAGTGCAAGATCCAGAGCTGGCAGAGCTTCCTCTCTTATGCGCAAAAAATCCAACCATCCCCATTCAGTCATCACAGAGTTGGCTAGGTCTCCTGGAGATAGGATTCTGTAATCAAAGACTTCTTTCATTCTGCCAGATAATGGATCTAGATGAGGCGACTATAGCATGTCGGGGACCGTGGATGGGAAAGCAAGCCCCAAGGGGAATTGATATGCAGCAAGTAGCAGCACCGTCCATAGTGCCACAGCAATTATTTTAGTGCCCATGCTTTTCTAGCTATCATGCTCAGCGGCCTCAGGCCACAGTTGCTAACAGAAAGGGAAGAGACATGGCAGGCGACAGGCAGAATCAAGGCCTTGGTGACATTAAGCGTGATTCCCAACTGTGCGCTATTCTTAAAAGCTTCACAGAGATACTCAGCTTCTATTTTCAGCACGGTCTTAAGCCTAGAACAGCAGGAACGTTCAGGCTTCTTGGTAGTACTTCCACTAGTAACAAATGAAAGGTAATCTGTTAGGATTTGTACAAAAATTCTATGTGATT